TCACATAGATTGTCTAAAAGGAGATCAAAGGAACTTAATAGTCTTGCCTTTGAGGAAGGGGATGGGATCAGGAGTGGGAGAAAGAGTTGCTTTCCTCATAGACACATTTGTGCTCTTTGAATTTCCATATTCCTTTTATTGTGTAAAGGAAAGTTTTTTTTAAAGTCATGAATAAAATAACTTGGGGTGCCTGGGTGGCACAATCAATTGTCCAACTCTTGTTGTTTTTGTAATTTTTTTTAACTATTTATTTTTGAGAGACAAAGTGCGAGCAGGGGAGGGGCAGAGAGAGAGAGGGAGACACAGAATCCGAAGCAGGCTCCAGGCTCTGAGCTGTCAGCACAGAGCCTGACGCAGGGCTCGAACCCACAAACAGTGAGATCATGACCTGAGCTGAAGTCGGTCACCCAACCAACTGAGCCACTCAGGCACCCCGACTGTCCAACTCTTGACTTGGGGTTCTCTCGATAGATAGATAGATAGATAGATAGATAGATAGATAGATAGATAGATAGATCTGTCCAGACCCCACTCATGATCTTGCATGCTGTCTCTCTCTCTCTCAAATAAATAAATAAATAAAGCTCTAAATTTATCATAAAGTAAAATGACATCAGTTTAATATAACTTTTCAAATGTTTTCATGTGGCAGTTTTTCACAATCCTTAAAGTGGTTATAAGCATGGGTTTGGAGTAGGCATATTTACTGACTGCGGGAGCTTGGAAAAGTTATTTGAGCATTCTAAACCTCCGTTTTCTCCCGTAGAATGGGAAATAATAATAACAACTACCTTGTAGGGACGTTGTGAAAAGGAGATAACATAATCAAGTGAAAAGTAATTACCATGGTGCATGATACATTATGAGCACTCAAATATCCCTTGAGTTCTAGCTAATGCTAGCATGCTAGATCTATCGGGACTCCAGGCTGCAAATAATGGTCACCGAAGTCAGTTTTCTTCTACGAAAAAAGGGAATCTGTTAGTTCATACAAAATGGAAGTCTTGGGTAGACCTGCCTTTGGTCATGGCTATTTCTAGCACCTCACTTGAAGGCATTGGGACTCAGTCTCTCCAGCTCTTTACTTCCATGTTGGCTCAGTTCCCAGGTAGCCCCAGGCTGACTTCCTACTAATAACTCCCAGTGAAAAGAACCCAGTACTTTCCCCATCGTTTCTAACAAAAGTCCCACACTGGCGGATTCTCCTGCTTTGATCATAGGCCCATTAGCCAAGGGATACTGGAATACGCTGATTGGTGGGCCCAGGTTACAAGACTCACCTTTGAACCCTCTATGGGAAGGGCCAGCCTAAGATGTTGAGCAGTGTCAGGGTTTTTGCTCATCAGGCTTAGAGACAAAGAAACCACCTGAACTAAGAATTGTGGAGAAGTTTCTTCCCCGAAGGCAAAAATAGGGTCCACAGATGCCAGATGGGCAGAAACTATGGTTGTTCCCCCCCGCCCCAGCCCACTGCTTGGCTGCCTGACAGTTATTACTAATATATATATTTTTTTAAATTTTTTTTTCAGAAATTTAACATTACAACATCTTAGTTTGGGTTGACGTTCTAAAATTAGCACCTACTTCATTTATAATAAAAGCCACACTTGGTAATACCTCAGAAAGATGCCACGTGGGCGATCTACGTAACCTCTCTCCCGTCCAGCCTTTATTCCTACTTAGGACCAGATGGCTGGGCCTTCCGCTGAGCACCAGATAGATGAGTTGCTTTACTGATAGGGGCCATGTGATCTGAAGATCTCTTTATAAACAGAAGAACTCAACAGTTCAGGGAGATGGTCACACTCATAAGAAACAAAAATTGAGCTGATGGGAGAGAGATTTCCATCTGTCCTGGTGTGAGCAGAGACCGCCCGTACTGTTTAAAACCTCCCATGTAGTTGTTTGTTTGTTTGTGTGTTTGTTTTTACCAAGCACGTGCGCCTAAATTTGTTAAGGTGATGCTGCTCCATGACGTATCAAATGTTCAGCCAGCTCTTTCCCCAGAGAGATTCCAGTTAGTGTGCCCGTCCTCAGGTCTGCGACCTGTAAGTCCTAAGGACTACTGTGTGTTCATCTCAGATCCAGTTCAGCCCCTTCCACTACAGCGCGGAGGAATGCTAACAGGATAGCCTGGCAGAAACGCCCATCTGGAAAAGGAAAATGACGCAGTGATCACCTCTCAAAGCCTGTCACGTCTACTCCGCAGGAATAGCTTGTGTAGCCGATATGACCGCCCCCAATTTCTACCCTCCAGGAGGATTTGCTGGGGCTGCGCTTCTTCCTCAGCTCATTTCTTTTTGGCGTAGATGGATAGGCTTGGTGATCTATCCCCTTAGAGGCTGAGATCTCATAGATTGTGAGGATTCTAGGACTTAAGAATTCTCTGGCAGTAGAAGTGCCCTTAAGATTTAGTAGATTTTCCATCAAGTATTTAGATTGGTTCAACTCTCCAAAGTCACACAACCAGCCTAGTCCTGGTCCTTGAAGTTAGATCTCCGTTTCTTAGCAACAGATCTCTGGGAATTTCCCCAGCCTACAAGCTTACTGCTTTCCATGGGTCTTCGCCTCAAAGCAATTTGGAACAGTAGCCTGGATGGGGGAGGGAAAACTAATATGCCCCCAGGCCCCTGGCCAGTGAGCAATTCTTTATTGTGAGTGTTCAGGAAGAGTTTACAGACTTAGGAGCCCAAGAGTTCTGGGTCTCCCATTTGACTCCCTGCTGGGGACCTTAACATGGAAAGAATACAGCGGTGTACCTCTTGGATGGCTTTCTGTGGAGAGAAAAAGCCTCCGTAGCAAAGCTGCTCCCCTCTCTACTTCTAGGTGAGCCTCAAACAGAGCTTGCCTCTATCAGTGGTGACCTCCTGCAGGCCGCAAGAAGTGACCCACCCACCCTGCCGCTCTTCACTGAGGCTTTGATTGGCTAATGCCACTGAGAAGTCTGGGGAAAGACCAGCTGTTGTCCCCAGCATATGACTTGATTCAGAGTTTTGAGTGATGGCCTTAGACCCCGTTCTCTCCGTGTCTTCACTCCACCTTCCCCTCTAGAGCCTCTGTTGTCGGGTAGTTTCTGGCTACTGTCAACGTTACTGGGAAGGCACAACCCCTTCTTGCCAGTGGTTCCAGAAAAATTCCTGAGTTGGCCTTTGTTCACCCAGGTTTGGTCATGTGCCATCCGGCCCAGTCACTGTGGGGGAGGGGAGGATGGAACCCAAAGATCAGGCAGGCCCAGATCACCTGTGTGCACAGATGTGCCTGTGCTGGCACAGGGAGGGGGGTGCTCCCCAAAGACAATCAGAGGCTTTTACCTAACGAAGAGAGTGTTTGCCAGGCCAACCAAAACAACAGGCCCACACGAGGATTTGACAGAATATTTGGGAGGGGAAGATGAAGTTAAGAAATTTACTGAACGTCGTTCCTAGGCCTTGAGAGTGAACTTCAGCCCAGCATTGCCCAACAGAAAGATAACACGTGGGGCGCCCAGGTGGCTCAGTCGGTTAAGCGTCCGACTTCCGCTCAGGTCATGATCCCAAGGCTCGTGGGTTCGAGCCCCGCGTCAGGCTCTGAGCTGACAGCTTGGAGCCTAGAAACTGCTTTGGATTCTGTGTCTCCCTCTCTCTCTGCCCCTCCCCTACTTGCGCTCTGTCTCTCTCTCAAAAATAAATAAACATTAAATTTTAAAAAATAGCATTTTTCGGGGCGCCTGGGTGGCACAGTCGGTTAAGCGTCCGACTTCAGCCAGGTCACGATCTCGCGGTCCGTGAGTTCGAGCCCCGCGTCGGGCTCTGGGCTGATGGCTCGGAGCCTGGAGCCTGTTTCTGATTCTGTGTCTCCCTCTCTCTCTGCCCCTCCCCCGTTCATGCTCTGTCTCTCTCTGTCCCAAAAATAAATAAACGTTGAAAAAAAAAAAATTTAAAAAAAAATAGCATTTTTCAATTATTTTTATTTTATTACTCAATTAGTTAAAAACAAACATTTAATTTAAAAAAGGAAAGCTAATATGTGCCACAAATGCAAGCCACATAGTAAAAATATATATGAAACAAAACAGGTGAAATAATCATTTTAATACTGTCTGATTTAATAATATTTTAGAAAGCCAAAATATCATTTTGGCATGTAATCTATATAAAAACAGTTGGTGATGGATTTTGCCCCTTTTGGGGGTGGCACGTTTTCAGAATCCAGTGTGCATTTGACACCTAGAGCACATGTTGATTCAGATGAGCCACACGCGGCTGTGGCCACTGTAGCGACCAGAACGAGATGAACTGATCACTTTCTACAGAGAAGCCAGCAAAGCTCTTACTTCTGTTTCTGTGTCGTGAGGAGTTCTGTGAACTTGTGCATCTCCTCATTAGGAGGATCTGCCCCAGAAATGAGCCTAGAGACACATGGCCCTGTGGGGTGTCCAGTCGGTACCATTCCTGTCTGGACACCTGTCACACCCAGACGTTGGCACACAATAATTACTTACTTCAGTGATCTGTCTCCTCTCAGACTCTACGCGCTAGGGAGGCAGGGACTCTTAACCTATCTTGCTTTCACCTGCGTGCCCTAAGCCCAGTGCCCAGTCCGTAGACACTAGGTGGATATTTTTGTAGTGAAATTAGATCAAATTAAAAACTTGAAGACCTCCACGCGTCAGGTGTGATGACAGAATTGGAGACAGTAATACCAGGGGCATTTGCAGTATTTGTTATTCCGGTGAATGACCATTTGTAGTCTGTGACTAGTTGTGTTACTGTTCAATCACTCTCGCATTGAATATAAATAGAGAGAGAGAGAGAGAGAGAGAGAGAGAGTGATTGAACACCTACAGAAACCCAGGCTCTGTGCCAAGCACTAGGTATACAAAGATAAGTGGGAAACGGTCCCTGCCTTAAAGGAAATGAGACACAGAGAAGTAAAATAACCCTTATATGCAATAAGTGGAGGATACAAATAAACAGAGTGTTTGCGGGAGCACAAGGAAGGGGGTCCTGCCCAGATTAGAGATGAGGTCGGCGGCAGAGTTTTGCAGGGGAAAAGTGAGTTTATGTTCCGCGATGCCTGCTGTCGTCTTAGTGTCTTGCCCCACGCCTGGCACGTATGTTGAATGAATGAATGGATGAATGAGCGAGCAAACGAACGAACGAACAAGGTGGCTCCTGATCCTAATCCTAAAGGACCACTGGCTATGTCCTCCATCTGATGGGTAATGCGTTGCAGGTGAAGAGAGTTGACGTGATAGCCCGGCCCCCGGAGCCAGAACCTGGCTGTGGGGCGGGCCAGGGCCCCGAGTGCGGCAGAGCAGAGGCCTGAGAGCTGGCAGGTGCCCGCAGCCCTTGGCAGACACAGGTCACAGACAGCCCCGCCCCTTGTGACTGCCCACGTGCCCAGTGACCAATGCTTGTGCTTTCACATTGCAGGCCAAGCGAAGGCTGGAGCTGGGAGAAAGCGGTCATCAGTACCTCTCCGATGGCTTAAAAACCCCTAAGGGCAAAGGAAGAGCTGCACTTCGAAGTCCAGATAGTCCAAAAAGTAAGGATGCTCTCATCTCATATTCTCCTTGGTGTGGGCTTCCCACCTTTCAGAGCTTGTGGCCGAGAGGATGCCAAGGTGTGAATAATGCTGGCATGTTGTGTCCTTTTTCATCTCTCTGTTCCTATCCAGAAAATTAAATACAGTGTCTCCAGATGCCCCGCAAAGGGTTTTGAGTCACTTCGGGACCTGAATACTGATTGGGGGGGGGGGGGGGGGGGGGGGGCCCTCTTTGAATGTGTGTGGTTTCACTTTTCCACTTGGAATACAAGTTCTTTGTATTCTATACAAATTTAAATTCTATACCATTCTATAATCAAATTTAGTTTTAACTTTCCTTAACAGACATGACTTTGGAGAGCAGGCTTAACTGGGGCTAGACAAACCGCGCCAGGGCCGGGGATGTCTGCGCCAGCCTGAATCTCTCTAACTAAGCGGAAGGCAGTGTAAGAATTGACCGACACTAATACACTGCAGCTACTTTTCCTTTCCATCGATTGCTTTTTCTGGGAGAGAGAAAAAAGTAGGTTGAAAACAGCTAAACAGTCCTTTATGTCTTTGGCATTTAACATAGATGCTAAATTAGACTTTGTTCGCTCCTCTCATGGAGTTTATGAATGAGGCAGTCCACAAACGGTGTGTAATGCTCAGCGAAAGCCTTGACCTGGGCACCTGTGAGAGAGTAAACACGATATTGAATAAGGACATTGCATTCAAGAGGGATGGGGCAATTCCACTGAAAGGCAGTTTCAGTATTCTTCATCCACTTGAAGCATTATTTGAAAAAGTGGTGAATAAGTCACACACACACACACACACACACACACACACACACACA